GGAAAAAAAACACCATTACTGATCAACACATTGAAAAAGCCTGAAATTATGTGCAATGTACAACATTTATGTTCCTTCCTTCTCTTCAAAGGAGATGAGAACATTATCTCATAACTTTCTTCAAGCCATGATTGTTCTTTATTTTTCAACATTCACTTTTGATTGTGTGGGAGAGGGAGGGGAAAGGGGGTTGCTTTTTCCATTTGCATTGCTGTAGTCATTGTGCATATTGTATTTTTGGTTTTATTTACTTCATTCTGAATTAGTTCATGTGAATATTTCCATTATTCTCTGTATTCATCATATTTATCATTTCTTACAGCATAGAATATTTCATTACATTCACATACCATAACTTGTTTGGCTATTCCCCAACCAATGGGTATCTATGCTGTTTCCATTCTTTTGCTATCACAAAAAGTGCTACTATGAATATCTTGGTATACGTAGGTTTGGTTTATCAATGGCTTCTTATGATATAGGTATAGTAACAGAATCTCTGGGTCAAAGGATATGAACATTTTAGGTGCCTTATTTGCATACTTCTAAATTCTTTTGCAAAACAGCTGTATTGATTCATAGCTCCATCAACAATGCACTAGGTTGGCAATCTTCCCACAACCCCTCCAACATTGACTCCAACCCCTCCATCTTTTGTTATCTCTTTCAATTTACAAGGTGTGAGGTGAAATCATAAGGTTGTTTCAATTTGAATTTCCCTTATTATTAGTATTTTAGAGCATTCTTTCTTATGGTTGTTTAGAGTTTTCAATTCTTTTTAGAATTATTTGTTCATACTCTTTGACCACTTATTTACTAGGGAATGGCTTTTGGTTCCATATATATTTGTGTGTATGTATACTTGTACATATTTATGTTTAGATCTATTTGTAAATATGTAAATGTATAGCTATACTCACACATAATATATATATTTGTATATCTGTGTATGTTAATTGTTTTTATATCTTGGATATAAAACTCCAATCAGAGAAATCATGAAAAAACTATTTTTCCCCCACTGGATCGCTTCCCTTCTTATCCCAGGTACATTAATTTTGTGATGTAGCTGCTTAGTTTCATGTAATCAAAGTTATTTATTTTATCTTTTGTAATGACCTGTATTCATTGTTTGGTTAAAAATATATTTCCTACCCGTATACATGAGAGGTATACAATCTGCTTTTCTTTCTTTTTAGTGCAATCTTAATTTAATATTAAGGTCAGTCAGGTATCCATTTAGAATGCATTATAGAATGCAGAGTAAGCTGTTGGTCACTAAGCTGAATTTCTGCCAGACTCCTTTCTAGTTAACCTAATAATTTTTGTAAATGGGGAGTTTTTTCCTAAATAATCTATGTTTTCTAGTTTATTGAACAGTGGGATAGAGTTCCATTGTTTCTGATTCTCCCTTGTTTTGTCTGTTCCATTGATCTACCACTTTATTTATAACTAACAACAGATGATTTGGATGGCTGCTACTTTATATAATTTGAGACTCAGAAATGGTATCTACCTCCATCCTTATCTCTTTTCATTATTTCCCTTGATAATCAAGAACTTTTACTTTTTTCAAATGGATTTTATTATTTTTTGAATTGCATAAAGAATTTCTTTGATAATTTAATTGGTTCAACATTAAAACTGTAAATTAACTTTGATAATACTGTGATTTTTATTATATTGGGATTATAGCTTAGCCATATTTTTCCAGTTATTTAAGTTATTCTTTATTCTTTAAGGAATATTTTGTAATTGAATTTATACAAGTCTTTTTTGTGCTTTGGTAGCTAGATCCCCAGATATTTAGTGTGTTCTACAGTTATTTTTAATGGGATTTCCCTTTATATTATTAACTTTTGGATTTTGTTATTATTATATGGAAATACTGTTAATATTTAAAGATTTATTTTGAAGACTGCAACTTTACTATAGCTATTAGTTGTCTTAAATAGCATCTTTGCTGATTTCCTAGGATTTTTTCTAAGTATAACATCATATTATCAGGAAGCAGGGACAGTTTTACCTCCTCTTTATCTTTATGCCTTCAAATTATTATTCTTTGTCTTATTGCTGTTGCTAGCATTTCCAGAATTATACCAAATAATTGTGGGGAGAGTAGACATCCTTGCTCTACTTCTTTGTTTCTTGGTAATGGTTTTAATATATCCCCATTGTGAATAAAGCTTGCTTTTGGTTTTAGATAGGTGCTTTTTATATTATTTTTAAACATATATATACATAATATATATAATATTAATAAAAAAGTCTCTTTATACCTATAGTTTGTATGCCTTTCAGCATAAATGGTTACTATACATTGTTAAAGGCTCTCCCACACACACACATCTTTTGAGATGATCATGCGGTTTTGGATATTTTGGTTTTTAATATGATTTACTACATTGATAGTTTTCCTAATGTTAAACCATCATTGCATCCTTGTTATAAACCTAACTTGGCCATGATGCATGATTTCTTGGATGAATCATGGTAGTCTGTTTGACAGGATTTTATTTTTAAAAATTTTAATTGTTATTCTTTAATGATATTAGTCTCTAGTTCTCCTAAGCTTTATTCTTCTTTGCTTTAAGCATTAAGATTTTGTTTGTCATATAAAGGGAATCTGATAAAGTACTTTTTTTCTCAGTTTTAAAAAATATTTTGTGTAGTGTTGATACTACCTGTTCTTTAAAAGTTTGATAAGATTTCTCCTGTGAAATCCATCAAGAACAGAAGTTTTTTCCTTTGATAATTTTTTTACAGTGAATTCTATATCTGCCCTCTTCTAACCTTCCCTATTACTATCAAAGACACCAGCATTCTGGGGCAGCTAGGTGGTGCAGTGGATAGAGCACCAGCCCTGAAGTCAGGAGGACCTGAGTTCAAACCCAGCCTCAGACCATAACACTTGACACTTACTAGCTGTGTGACCATAGGCAAGTCACTTAACCCCAATTGCCAAAAAAAAAAAAAAAAAAACCAAACCCCACACACCAGCATTCTTTTAATCACACAGATTTATAATCTCAGTGTCATCTTGGTCTTTTCAGTTACTCTCACCCACATAGCCAACCAATGAGCTGTTTCTATCTTCACAAAATGTCTCACATCACTCTCTTTCTCACCATTGACACAGATAACACCCTCTTTTTGGCCTTCATCATCTTTCTCCTAGCCTACTTCCAAAGATTCTTAATTAGTTTCCATGGCTGAAGTCTCTCTCTTTTCCAATTCACCTTCTCCCTGGTTGTCAAGTTATATTCTTTAAAATACAGTTCTGAACATTTCACTTCCATATTCAAGAAGTTCCAGTGCCTCCTCCTTGCCTCTAGTATAAAATGGAAACTCTGCTGTTTGCCTCTTAAACCTTAACATTCTGGCTCCAGCTTAACTTTCTAGGCTTAATGCACATTATTTCAACTGAAGGGGGCTACTTGCAGTTCCTTGTATAGGACACTACAAATCCTGTCTTTCTACTTCTGTACAGGTTGTCCCTCTGCCAGGAATGCACGCCTTTTCATCTTCTTAGCTTTTTTCAAAACTCAGCTCAAGTGCTACCTTCTACAGAAAATCTATTCTGATCCCCGAAGAGGCTAATATTTTGTCATCCCCCAGAAATTACTTTGTATCTATTTTACACCTATTTTGTTTTTACTTTTCTATGTACATGGAAGGAATATTTCCTTTTTTAAAATTTTGTATCCTTTTTGCCTAGCACAATGTCAAACAAAAAAATCTTTAAAATGCCTTTTTAATTAATGATTTTATAAAATTAAAAAAAACTTTTTTGGTCAGTGAATTCCCTGTGCAGTAGGTTTCTTTCTACCACTCTACCTTTTCCTCTTAAAGTAAGCAGCATTTAAGTAATATCTATGTTCCTAAAAACCTGAGTAAGTCAGGTTTTTCTACCTTAAATCTTGTTTTCTCGTTAACTTATATTATAATTTCAAAGATGTTTAATCTTCATTAATGATTGAGCTTCACTTCCTCTATCTTTTTAGCATTAAGTTTGTTTGGAAATACATAATGATATGTAAAATACCTAAATGCATTAGATACACATTTTAATTCTGTATAGAATTATTTTAGGTGAGAATACAATAATACAAATTTGGAATTCTGCCAAGTTATTTTTTTAAAATAAGTTATATATGTTAAAATAAGTTATGTATAATTTTTCAGTACTGTCAATACATCTTAGTGCTGGGCACAGTAAAGATGCTCATTTATATTTTGATCGGTTATTCTTTTAAAGGTATGATATTCACTAAAAGTATGATTTAGAGATAGAGGCCAAAGAAGTCTAATCTGCACAAATTTAAATACAATTATTATTATAAAAATACTCTAAAAATTTTCATATTTAAGCTAACTCCCTTTAAATACCAATGGCTGTCAACACAAAGGACTTTATAAAAGATCTAAAATCAATTTAATTCTCCAACAGAGGCTTCTTATTCTTTTTTTTTTTTTAGGCTATTGGGGTTAAGTGACCTGCCCAGGGTCACACAACTAGTAAGTGTCAAGTGTTTTGGTCTGAGGTTGGATTTGAACTCGGGTCCTCCTGACTTCAGAGCTGGTGCTCTATCCACTGCACCACCAAGCTGCCCTGAGGCTTCTTATTCTTAAAAGAGACAATTCAATTTTCTCCATGAAAAAAAACTAACTTAAAAGTATTTTAACATTTCTGATCTCATATTTAATACCCTAAGAAAATAAGTATAAATTACTTTAAAGACAAACAAAATAGGAAGTGTGATTTGTAAATCTTACTATAAAATTGTGTAAAATATACACTACATTTTTATATATAAAATTTATATTATAAAAATAACCAAAGCAAGGCCTATATATTGGGTATACTCTTAATGGATAACTTATGGATGGATAAGAATAAAATTCACACAGGATGAAGCATTAATAGGTTGCAAACTGCATTGGAGGAGGAAATTCCCAAATTAATAAGATAATCAAAGTGAAGTCAATGAAGTACTCACTTTAGCAACTGCACACCTAACAGCCATAGATCTGTCACTAAGCAGAGATCTTGCATTCTTATAAATATCACGGTGACAGGAAGCTGCTGCACCACCCAGCCCATTTAGGACTTTTTGTAAGCTCATTAAGATTTCACTTCGGCCTTGAGACTGTATATGTGCATAAAAAAAACAAAAATTAAAAACCAGGAAACAAATTCTTAAATTAAGTGAGAACATAACATCAAACCATTACTACTGTTTCTAAAGATACATGTAGATCAGTGTTATCCAAAGACCATGGTCATATAACCCTTCTGGGTATGATTTCTATTGAAGGTAACTACTAATTCCAGCCCAACATTATAAAGATACAGAATATGTCCAGAATAGAGGGATAGAGGATAAAGAAATTCTGGAGCAAAATGGAGGAAAATTGAGCCTATTTTAATGACTATATAAAAAATGTTACAGATAAATATTTTTGCTATATAACTTTGTGTTTATTATTTTAGATGGGAAAAAATACCACTAGTAGCAACATTTTTTTCAGAATTGCCAAGTTAAAAGGCAAACTGAGTTTGAAAGCACAGTTCTAGATCTTAAGTAGTGATTATTCAGAAAATAGGTCCTTGAAAGTTGACAACAATGATTTAACATTAATAAAATATGTTTTAACTGGAAAACAGAATGAAATTAAGTCAAATAATAGATTCAAGTTTTCTATTTAATCCACACAGTACCTTTCAGGCTTATCTAAAAATTAAATCCATTGTGACCTTACTTCAGGGAGCAAGGTAATAAGAATATGAAGATTAATTCAAGGGCACAAGTTGTTCAGCTACATATTTTATATTTCCAAGGGAAAGATATCCCACTTTTACAAGATGAATGAGAAATACTTAAGAAAAATCAATGAAGAACACCTAAAAGGGACAACAAAGCTCTTATAGCATCTCCTATAATTGGTCACAAAAAGGTTGGCTCTTGCCCCAGATTATTGGTAGACCTCATGGTAATTGAGAAGAGGTATTCTCTAAGGTCCTTTAGCAAATTATGGTTTTCGCTTCATATTGACACTTAGTCTTGTTGTTAGTACAGTAGTTTATTTAAGTGGTACTAGATATGACAAAAAAGATATAAGGTCCCCCAAGGATTCATAGCTCCACAAAATTAGTGAAATATGTTGCTTCTTCACATGGAACAAGGATCTTTCTCCTATTCACATTAAAGTTTAAGCAATAGAGTACATTTAGGAGATTTTCTATTGCCCTGAAACGTAATCATGAATTGCGTCTTACTAAATAGCTAAGTTCTCTAGTTACATAGATATAGGGCAAATGATTATTTATTTAAGCCAGATTAATTCTTCTCACAAACAAAAGATACACACACATATGTAAGGTGTTCTGTAACTTACCTCTGCACTTTTCAGAGACTTCAAAAGATTGTTAACTGTTTCTGGAAATGCACTTCCTAACATCCTCCCCATTTTTTCATAAAATGCTCCAACACATGCTACTGCAGCCCTATAAGAAATGATATTCTACCCTTAAAACCATTTCAATTGCCCAACATTCAAGTTAACAGGACAACTTCATATAGTTTTATTAAATAAAGTTTTCACCTTTATCAATTTGGATTATTCCAGGTCTGGACTCATTTTTAGGGGGGAGGAGGGAGGCTGGGCAATGGGGTTAAATGACTTGCCCAAGGTCACACAGCTAGTAAGTGTTAAGTGTCTGAGGCCGGATTTGAACTCAGGTCCTCCTGACTCCAGGGCCAGTGCACTATCCACTGCGCCACCCAGCTGCCCCATGGACTCACTTTTAATGTTCACTTTTATTAGTATGGCAATTATCACTACTAAAACTCAAACTTTTCAAAAATGTGTTTGATTTAGCAAGCAATGACAATTTCATTACATCTCCGGTCAATAAATTTCAAACAGTAAACATTAATTAAAAGTCTACTATGTATGTGCTTTGTTATGTGCTTACAATGGAATAGAGGCAGAGATCAGATAACAATTCATACTCTCATGGTTCTAGTAGGGCATTCAAAAAATAAACACAGAAGGTAACTATAATGCATGACATCTTATAAATGAATGAGAAATGTCCTGATTGCCATGCAAAGTCTCGGGAGGAAGGCACTAACAGGTAAAAAGAATCCTATTGCTATACCCAGAAATCTTAAGTGCACAGCATAAGATATGAAGGCAGTTTTGTATAGATATAAAATGACAAATGATGAACTAGGATATCTTCCTGGAGTAAGTATATAAGATGAACATGAGTGCCTACTAAGACTCATTAAAACTAACTTTTTTTTCCCCCAAAGTCTCCTGATTCATGTGTGACTTCAATGTAAGAATTGAAAGTGCAATGCACCCCTGGGGACTTTAAAGTTTAAGTAGGAAATTGAAGAACTTAGCAACTCAGAAGACATTTTGATTTCTTCTTTCATAAACCATTCTGACTTCATAAGAGGTTACAACACAAAAAAAAATTTGGCTGTTACATATAGATGATATTTAAGAGCAGAATTTGGATTGCTGGACCATGACCTAAAATATTTAAGAACAAGTTCCTAGCAAAGTAGAGGATATAAGTGCAAAGTCAGTAAAGACTTTAATTGACCACAGATTCAGTCCAGAAAGAACATCTGTATGCTGTGCCACAAAACTGGCATTGATGTGCAGAATTAATAAGGATTTCCCTTCAAGTGTCCCTTCATTTGCAAACAACATAATTCCACTATAACGAGCATTTCATAAATTCTTGATTTGCTTTGCTAATAATACCATATTTCAGATACAGCATGTAGTGATAGACTCAATCTTGATCAACCATGAGTAAATGGTTGGCAAAATGGAAGTAACAGGAAGCTTGTGATCACATAATCACAGAATGTTAGTTCTAGAATTAACTTTAGAGATTATCTAGTCCAACCTTCTAATTTTACCAATGTCAAAAACTAGACCCTAAAAAGTTAAGTGAATTGTCTAGAGTAGCACAGTTAATAAGTAGTAAACCCAAAATTCAAACCCAGATCTTTTGATAAGTGTTGTTCTCCCACTTCACACTCAATTTTAGGTGATCCAAAAGGCAATGGAAAGATGCACTGTCAGTATAAATATGCTGTAGTATATTATATTACCATCTTCATTTGAGTAGAAGGAGTGGCATAAAAGACACCATCAGGGATATACAAAATGGGAGAAATCAAACTGATACTTTAGTAAGAAAAACAACATGTCAGTTGCATCCATAATAGAGAGCCATCAATGTCCATATCTGCCTTCTGGGCAGGGAAAGAGGATACTTCTTATCTGCTGATGCTGGTCAGAAAGTCTGGAAGGCTAAAGTTTAAAATTAAATTAAATTAAATAAACATTGAATGCATTCTGTTACTATACTAGATCCTGGATGTGATAAAGTTTAGATGATATATCTATCTTGCCCTCATGGAGCATACAGTTTTGTAGGGTGATTTTATACATACACATACACACACAGAGAGATATAAAATTGTGATAAGTACAATATAAGTGTGCAAAACAAATTGTTATATGAGGAAAAGGGATATTCATTAGTGATAAGGGGATCAAGGCTGAAGAGACATGGCCGATAAGCTCACCAAAAATAAATCTTTTCAGTCTGAAAGAGGCAAAAGCAAAGAGATCACAGATGCCCCAAATATATAAAGTAAGAGTAAGAAAACAGGATGAATCATATCCTTAGCTAATGAGTAACCACAGAAATACTATAAAGAATCATTAAGAAATCACAGAGGAAAAAAAAAGAAATCACAGAGAATGAGAGAAGTATCTTCAGATTTAATATGGGAAAATGTCTAACAGTCAAAAAAGGGGGCAAAAATAGATTTCCCAAGTTACAGAATAATAAACATTATGTCATGAATCTGCCATTTAGCTATTCCTCTTGTCTTTGTGCTGTCAGTCCGTTTGGCAAATTTGCCTTCTATATTTATATAATTCTTTGATAAAATTGAAGAATTAGACAGAACCAAGGACATCAACCTTTGGCCTTGTACCTAAGACATCTTTCTAGATTGATGGCACTCAATTATTAATATTTGGGTGTTATTTTCAACTAGTTGCAAATCAAAAAATTCTAGACTTGTATTTATAAGCAGATGATTTTAAGCATTTAGAAAAGCATAACATGGCATCACTAAGGAATAAAAAAAGCTGTGCCAGACTAATTTCATTTGGAAATGTGGGTGGGATAAGGCATTACTAGTAAAACAGAAAGAAAATGATGATGACATGGCTTATCTTAATTTCTTCAAAGAATTTGATGAATTTTGATATCCTGGTGCCGAAAGAAGGCAAAAAATGCAGACTCACAGATACTAAAAGTAGATTTGCAACTAGTTGAAAATAACACCCAAATATTAATAATTGAGTGCCATCAATCTAGAAAGATGTCTTAGGTACAAGGCCAAAGGTTGATGTCCTTGGTTCTGTCTAATTCTTCAATTTTATCAAAGAATTATATAAATATAGAAGGCAAATTTACCAAACAGACTGATAACACAAAGACGAGAGGAATAGCTAAATAGCAGATTCATGATTCAAAATTACCTCAACAGGCTGAAACCAGTAAGATGAAATTTAATAGTAATGAATGTAAAGTCCCACATTTAGGTTTAAAAAAAAATCAGTAGAGGAAAACATAACTTGGCAACAGGTAATATGAAAAATTATTTTGAGGCCTAGATGAGCAACAACTGGAGAATGACTATAAACTCTACAGTATATTAATGTAATGCAACATTACTATGCCAGAAATGACAAATATGAAAGATATAAACATGAAAAGGTTTTTATGAAATGATGTACTGTGAAGTAGAAAAAATATACACATTGACAACTACATGTAATACAAAAGAAAAAATACATTTTAAGTATGACAAAAAATTAATTAGAAGAGGACACAGTTCAAATAAGTTGTTAATGTCAAAGTTCTTTTTGACTTACCAATTTTATCAAAGAATTATATAAATACAGAAGGCAAATTTACCAAACAGACTGATAGCACAAAGACAAGAGGAATGGCTAAATGGCAGATTCATGACATAATGTTTATTATTCTGTAACTTGGGAAATCTATTTTTGCCCCCTTTTTTGACTGTTAGACATTTTCCCATATGAAATCTGAAGATATTTCTCTCATTCTCTGTGATTTCTTTTTTTTTTCTCTGTGATTTCTTAATGATTCTTTATAGTATTTCTGTGGTTACTCATTAGCCAAGGATGTAATTCATCCTGTTTTCTTACTCTTACTTTATATATTTGGGGCATCTGTGATCTCTTTACTTCTGCCTTTTTCAGACTGAAAAGATTTATTTTTGGTGAGCTTATTGGCCATGTCTCTTCAGCCTTGATCCCCTTATCACTAATGAATATCCCTCTTACTCCTCATGTAACAATTTGGTTAACATTCTTTGGCTTTGCAAAGAATTTAATTTTGTTTTTTGGCATTCCATATCTCACCCTGGCTTGTTTGCATTTGTTGAAGTTTTTATTAAGTTTGTAATGAAAATTTATTTTTAAATTGTACTGACGTAATTATTAAATACTTATTAGAGAAACCTTATTTGGGATGTACCTATATACCGTTTGGATCATGGGAAGTAATTATTCTTACTATATTCTGTACAAGTTAAACTATTGAGAGGCCCTTAATCTAGAACACAATTGGCACTATGAAATTAATGAAGTCATATTATGATAAACAAGAGAAGAACGACTATTCTGCATTGGTTTATATCAAAATAAGTACTTACAGTTTGGTTGGCAAATAGGCTGCAGTGTCATCTTTGTTTTTGATAATATCATTACACTTGTCAAGAGTTTGAAAGACAGTGAAAGTATCTCCAATGCTATAAAGAGCTGCAAGATTTTTAGCTAATAATTTCCTTGTTGGAGGGCCAGGAGAACTGCTTATTAATCCAGTGAGTTGCTCAACAAGCTTTTTCTGCTTTTCCTTCACATCAGTCTGTCACAAAAAAAGCAGACAATATCATTTTTAGTTGCATATTTAGTTTTACTATTTTTTACCAACTAAAAAACTAGTATTGAAAACCTAAGCTACTCATAGAAATATGCTATATTATACAACAACCATCAACAAAAACTGTAAGCTTCAGAAAGAGTACCAAGTTAATTGAGCTCATTTCCCATCTTTCCTAAAATAAATCTTCCTTTCTTGGTCACGCAAATAGAAAAACCATACCTTGTTAGCAGCCACCAGGACTTTGTCAAGAAATCGCAACCACTCAAAGATAAAGACAGGCCTCTTTGCTTCAGTAATTTGGGCCAAAGCTTCTTCATTTAGCAATAAACTATGGGCCAACTCCATTATTGGTGAACTTCTTGAATCACAATGTGTGTGCCTTACCTAACAGATTAAAAATCATGAAACATTTCTTTTTCAATAAATTTTTAATGAAAAGCTAAACAAAGTTTAAAGCACTTAAAAATAAGTAGTTACCTTTCCCACTAAGTGGTCAAAGAATATGAACAGAGAATTCTTAAAAGAATTTCAAACTAACAACAACCATATGAAAGAATGTTCCAAATCACAAATGAGAGAAATGCAAATAAAAAAACCTTGAATTTTCATCTCATACCCAACAAATTGGAAAAAATTACAAAGAAGGGAATAATCAATGTTGGAGGGTTTATCTTAAGACAAATACAATAACGCATTGGTGGAGGTGAAAATTGGTTCAACCATTCTGGGAAAGAATTTGGAATCATGCAAAAAAAGTGGTTAAAATGTACATACTCTTTCACACAGAGATTTTGCTGATATGCATATAACCCAAGAAAGTCAATGACGAAAACTATATACACCAAAATATTTATAGCATCATTTCTTGTAGAGGCAAAGAACTAAAAACCAAGTGGATGTCTTTCAACTAGAGAATGGCTAAATAAATTATGTACATGGAATAGACTATTACTAAGAGATAATGAATATGATTAATACAGAGAAGCATGGGAAGACTTTTATGAAATAAGTGAAGTAAGCAAAACCAAGAAAACAATATACATAACTACAACAATATAAATGGAAAGAATGAGAAACCAATTAACTGAATGCTACAAAATTATAATGACCAGGCTTGACCCAAAGAAGAGATATGAGAAAGCACCTCGTTTCATTTCATTGTAGACACTGGGAACTATGGCTGTGGAACGATGCATATAATGTCAATTTTTAAAAATATCTTGGTTAGTTTTGATGAATTGTTCTTTGCTCTCCTTTTTATTCTTTATTTTAAAGTATCATTCTCTGAGGGGGATGAGAGGGAAATGATGAGAAATGTAGGTGATATAAAAACAAATATATCAATAAGCATTTTGTTTTTTTTACAAAGAAACAAATCCTAAAATATGGAAGGGATTTTTGGTAAAGATCTTTGAAATATAAAATCATTTAAATAAACTAGACCTCAGATTACAGGAATGGGCTAACTATGGCCTTGAGGCCACATGTGGCCTTCTAGGTCCTTGAGTGTGGTCTTTTGACTGAGCCCAAGTTTTACAGAACAAATCCTTTTATTAAGGGGATTTGTTCCGTGAAGTCTGAAGTTTAGTCAAAGGGCCACCCGCACTTGAGGATCTAGAGGGCCACATGTGGCCTTGAGGCCACAGGTTCCCCACCCCTGCCCCAGAACATACAGTTTTAACAAACAAGGATTTATATAAAAATTTAACAAATTCAACAATTTAACAAACATTATTTAAGTGCCTAAGTGCAAGGCACTGTGCTAGGTGTCTACGTATCAAGAATAAAACACAACACAGTGCCCCTTCAAGAGAGATGCAACATATAAAATGGTAAGTATAACACAAGATAGAATGTCATGCAAAGTAGGAAACCTAGACCAGGAAAAAAATTGTCTAGGAACATTTGAAGAGGCAGAAAACACTTTCAGCTGGTAGGAGCAGAAAAGACTTCACAGAAAACGGTGGTACCTGAGCCATGAGCCAAAACTTTCAGGATTCTGAGAGGCAGAAATGAATAGGGAACTTATTTGACATAAAAGGAACTGCTTATATAAATATGTGGAAGCAGATGTCATGCTGAGTAAACAGCTCACAATCTAATATAGCTAGAATATTGAGTATATGAAGGAAAGTAATGTGAAAGTAAAGCTGAAAAGGTAGGTTGGAGTCAGACTCTATAAAGAGGGACAGGTGAAGTAGTTTGGATTATATATCCTAGAGATATAGAGAATCACTAGGAGTTTTTTGAGCAGTACAATGAGATAATGGTATGATCACAAACATGGGGAACCATTTCTGACTGAAGTATCTGAATTTCATCACATATCCTTGATTCACTAATCTTCTTAAAACCTTGGAGAAACAAAAAAAGAGCAGGAGAAGTTGATTTTATGGTATACCCAAAGGTAACAAGAAATATCATTTCATGGGGCATTTATTTGGTCATTTTCTATTTAAGTAAGTGCTCACGAAAAGTATTTGCAAAAATACTACCAAGAAAATGACTATGGTTTATATGCTAACATCTCTTGCAAAGGGATGAAGTAAAAAAGAAATCCTACAGAGTTAAATTAAATCAACATATACTTTGCTATTTAGTGACTTCAATGCAAAGGTGGGCACAGGGGAGGGTACCACCACATTTTTTGTACTGCCAGTGAAGGCAACTTCTAGAGACTGGCAACGTGGAGCCAATTCTGATCCTAGAGCAGAGATGGAGACAAGAACCACAATGAACCACAATGGTCTACGTGCCAAGACTATCAGCTATTATTATAAATCCCATTGGAATGAGGAGCAAGAGGGGAGATTGAGTTCTGTCACTTCTTTTCTTTGTTTACAATTCATGATCTTAAAACACACCTTTCCTTATTCCTTTCCAGGGAGTTTCTGTGGTTGGGGAATACTACCACATATCTGAAGATCTGCGGACAAAGCCAGAGGAGGCTGGGGAGATGGTTAGACGAAGAGGGTACATACTGTACAGGATTTATGTGATCACAGTATGTTAAGACTTTGAATTCGTACATGTAGGGAGTTATGTAAAGATAGAGGCCAGTCCAAAAGGAGAAGTTCATGAGTCTTGTATAGATTATAGTTCGCGTACTCTACATTCCAACCAAACTGACCTACTTTCAGTTCCTGCTACACAACAATCTATTTTTCATTTCCATGCCTTGGCTCAGGCTATCCTTATGCCTGGAATGAACTCCCTTGTTACCTTCACCTCTTAGAAGCCTTAACTTCCTACAAGATTTAGTTTAACTGCCATCTCCCAGATGAGGTTTTCTTGATTTCCCTCTGGAACTGCTAGTGCCTCCCCCAAATTACTTTGTATTTCCTTTGTAAATACATTCTCCACTCCCCTCCCCCCCACCATTGGAAAGTAAGTTCTTTAAGACACTTTGTCTTATATCCCCAGACTTGGCACATAGAAGGGCTCTTAATAAATGTTTGTGAATTGATTGACTGATTGACAGTGAATAATCTGTTAGAAAGTATGGTTGAGGAGGAAGGAACTTGAGAGATCAAAGAATTGTTATCTCTCTAGAAGCTTCATGCCTGTACATCATGAATACACTGTATTTAATACTGAGAAGGCTGGACATGGAAAGCACTGAATAACATCACAAAAATGAATTAATTATATTTTAACACACAGGCAATGACTCCTTACTGATATGGGAGTCATTCCTCAATCAGCTGTCTGTGAACCATCTGACCACCAACTTGTTAGAGCAAAGAAGGCTGGAAGAATAAACATGAGAAAAAGATATGGCGCTAATTAAAACAACTCCAAATGATTTATTTTAAAACAAGTTACTGATGTCAAAGGTCTAAAATAAAATACAAGGCATGTAGGGGAGTACGTATTTTTGTCTTACACAAAGCATAATATACTTATTAACTTTCACCACCAGCCTATCCGCAAAGATGTAATAAGGATGAAAATGGAACAATTTTGTCTTGGTTAAGATGACCTCTGAAAAGGTTAGTTTCAATAATGCCTAGTAATAGTTTTAAAATGTATTGATTAGAGTCCTAATACTACATGCATATTATTTCCTCAAAATCATATTGACTTGGCCTATGTCTGTGAAGTCAGTGTATTTACCAGAAGAATACCATTAAAAAGCAAAGGCACATCCAAGAAACCCCAGTTATTTAACAAGTGTCAAATATTGGCTTAAAAGCTAAAAGAACAACAAAAGTTTTATGATATTTTGTTTACTATTGTTACAAAATAATCTTCACTTTTTAAAATCCCAGAAAGTCTTCAATAAAGTAACATTATTATTCTTGTGTAACAATTTCTATTTGCACGTAGTGTCTAAAAAGAATTACATTCTACAACAAAGAATGTTCAATAGCAATGATACATTTGCATAACATGTTCTGCACTTTCACCCACATCACCTTTTTTTTTTGGTAGTAGATAGTATTATAAATAGCACGTTAGACAGTGAGCCAGAAATATTCCAGTTCGAATTCAGCTTCAGAAACTTAGTAACTATGACTTTGGGCAAGTTGCTTAAAACTCTCAGCCTCACTTTCCTCATCTGTAAAATGAGTGTAATAATAACATCTATCTCACTAGGTTGATCTGAGGATCAAACAAGGTATGTGCTTTGCAAACCTAAAAGCATTCTATAAAGTTCAGCTGTTACTAATGCAGGTAGAACAGGTATCACACACAGTTAAAATATGAGGACACTATATGGCATAGTGGACTGAGTGAAGAACCAAGAGAAATCTGGATTTGAATTACAATTCTGGCACAACAGCCCCAGCAAGCTACTTAATAGAACCTTGGTTTCCTCAACAATAAAAAGGGGGTAATAATATTTGCCTACCTCACCAGGTGGTTGAGAGCATCAGTCGATCAAAAAGTATTTATTAAATGACAATTTGGTGCTAGGCATTGAACTAGCCTCTGGGCATACGAAAACAAAGAATCAACCTCCCCCCCCAAAGAAAAGTTTACATTCTAATGAGGGGAGGGGGCCACAGAGGTGAGATAAGTAGATCAAAAGACAAGCAAAATGGAAGAGATAATAAGAGGGATTTACAAAAATTTGCAAACCATCAACCATTAGTAATACAGATTTGCTCCAAGGCTACCCAGTAGGGCACGGATTAGAACCCAGAACTTTCTTCTCCCAAATCCTAGATTATTGTTCTAGGCAGGCCCCGAGTTACCCCTCCTAGCCTAGGGGGCAGTACCTGGGACTAGGAAGATGATAAACTTCCCCCTCCCCCCGGCCCTGCAGAAGCTTTCCTAGAGCTGTCCCCAACAGAACCTTTCCCACAGGGAGCCCCCCAATCTCCAAAGCTGGGACTCGGGGCGACAGCAGGGGGAGGAGTCCAGGTCATGGGGTTGAGATGTGACAAGGGAGACCCAGCGTCCCTGACAGGAGCTCAGGGTAACCCGGCTGCCAAGACAACGGAACCGCGAGAAGCCCGGGGGATCCGAGGGGGGGGGTGAGAGATGCCCACCCCAGGCCCGGCCCGTCAGTCCGTCGATCACTCCGTCACTCAGTCGATCACTCCGTCACTCACTCAGTGCAGGTGAAGGCTCAACCTGCGGGCCGAAATAGAGGGAGAACCCCGTTGGCTCTCGGGGAGACCAGCAGAACTGGCAGCCGAGGGGGCTGGAGGGAAGAGGGGGCGAGAGTGGCCTCACCTCTAGAGCTGGGAGCCCCTTCCTCGCTGGCTAGCTGATCCAGGCGAATGCGGCGGTTCCAAGAGAAGCAGAAGCAAAAGCGGCTGCAACCGCAGCACCAGCAGCCGCGGCACCAGCAGCCCCACTGAAGTGAACCGGATGCACCGCCCTGGAAGCAGGAAGCCGAGAAAGCGGCAGGTGCGGCTGACAGACGCTGCGCAAGCGCAGTGTGCGGCAGAGGCGAAGCCGCGGCGATGTCCCAGAGCGCGACCCGTCTCCTGGAAGGAACCTCGCTGGGCTGAACGCGGAGTGGCAGTGCGCTTCACCCGGTAGTGTGCGAAGAACTAGGAGCCTAAGGGGGCGCGAGCTGGCCGGAAGAGTAAGAGGGGACGAGGAGGGGGAGGGAACAGAAAGAGGGAGAGGGTAGAAGTCCGAAGAGGAGGGATGAAGGAGATTAGAACGGGAAAGGAGGGGCCAAGGGGACACGGAGAAAAGTAGGGGAGAAGAGGGAGGAGGGGGATCTGGAAGGAAGAAAAGGGAAAAGAGCAGGGGAAAGGAGGGAGAAAGAGAAAGAAAGGGAAGGAGGGAAAGGGAGAGAGGCGTGAAGGGAACAAGGAGAAGGGAAAGGGAGGAGCGGGTCCAGGGGGACCGGGAGAAGAAGGGAGACGAGGGAGAAGGGAAGGGGAAAGGAGGGAGGAGAGGGATAAGGGAAAAAGGGAGAGAGGAGGGAGGAGGGAATCTGGGAGAAAAGAAAGAGACAAGAGGGACAGGGAGAAGGGAAGAAGAGAAAGGAAGCGAAGGGGAAAGGAAAGAAGGGAGAAGAGAGGTAAGTCCAGGACGGAGAGGAGAGAAGAAGAGGGCAAAGGAGAAGGAAAGGGGAGAGGAGGGCCCAGGGGGACAGGGAGAAGCAAAGAAAAAGGGGACTGGGGTAACCAGGGGTTACCAGGGAGAAGGGAAGGGTGAAGATGAAGGTACCAGGGAAAAGGCAAGGAGAAAGGAGGAGAACCAAAGAAGAGGTGGGAGACAAGGGCAGAAAGAAGGGGAGAACGAGATCAGGAGGGAGACGGGGAGGGGAGGCTAATAAGGGAGAAAGGAAGTGGAGAGCAGGATGACAAGGATAATGGAGAGGGGAGAGCTGGGGACAAGGGAGAATGGAAGAGGAGAGCAGGAAAGAGGGAGAAGGGACAGGACAGGAGCAAGGGAGAAGGAGGGGAAGAGCACAAAAGTAAAAGGAAGGTGAGAGGATCCAGATAAGACATATAAGAAAGGAAGAAGAGGGGAGGGCAAAGATAATAGAAGAGGAAAGACAGAAAGGAGGGGACTGGTGGTGGTGTTTGCAGAGGGAAAGGGGGTTAATGAGTATGAGCCTGGCTCAGTTTACTTGTCAGCGTCTCAGTGTGTTATAGTATCTTTTATTTTCAGTTTTCCCCAGCCTTCTAATTTTAGGTTAAAATGAAACCAGTGTCACCCCTCTATCTAGGATGTCTTTTAACATTTATTCATTCTATACTCAGGAAACAGTTATGGCTGCTCTGTGCAGAACATTGTGCTAGGTGTTAGGGGAGATACAAAAACTAAAGAGGCCCCCACCCTTTTAGAGCTTGCTACAGTCTGGTAGAGACTCAAATACAAATAATACAAATGATACAAAAACTACATAAAAAGGGACAAGCCCGGTGCTTATCAAGATCTATGGGACATTATCTTTACTCATGGTAGGGGTCATAGAAGACATGGAGGAAGCCGTATTTAGGAGAAAAAGAGGACATTGATTTGAGCTGGGCCTTCAAGGATAGAAAGGATTTTATCAGGCAGAGGTAGGGCTGAAGGGTATTTCATATATAGAAAATGGCATGAACAAAGGCACAGTAATGGTAAAAGTCCCAGTTGGCTAAAACATAGCCTATAAAAGTAAGTAGTTAAAGATAAGACCAAGAAGATAGAATGACATCCAGTTCTGGACAACCTTGATACTAGTACAACTCCCAGTGTGGGAGCTGGAGTTCTATGTGGTAGGCAATGAGGAGTCATTGAAGGATTTTGAGCAGAGAAATGCCTAGGTTAGATTTGTGCTTATAGATTAGTCATGAAGGGGTGTGAAGAATGGATTGGTGGAAAGAAAATAGATTTCAGAAAACTAGTTAGGCTATTGTAGTAGTCCATCTAGGTAGGAAAGATAACCTGGACTAGGGCAGTAAAAGTGGTAATAATAATAATAACCATAACACATTTATGGATATGCATTTACAAAGTACTTTCCTCATAATCTTTGAGGTAAATAAGAGAGTAAGGGACATAGTTGAGAGATTTCAGAGGTACGTACAAAAAAATAGAGAGGAGAAAATGAAAGATAAGACCATAGTTTCAAGCATTGCTTGAGTGAATGGTGGTCTCACTGATAGGACTTAGGGAGAAAGAAAAGTTCCAGTTTTAGATATGTTAAGGTGAGGTACTAGTGGTTAATATAGATAAAAAAATGCTCTGTAAATAGTTTAACATTCCTATCTGAAGCTCAGGACAAAGTTCAACATTGGAATTATGGAATAAGGAATCATATTTAGAGGTTACTATTGAAATTATGAAAAGGAATATGATTTCCAAGAGAAAGAGAGAAGATAAAGAAGAGCACTGAGGACAGACCCTTAGAGAGTTGGAGAAAAGAAAAAGAGCCAGCAAAAGAGAAAAATCAGTGTGATGCTTCGGGGAGTTCATAGAGGGGTAGTATCAAAAGCTGCAGAGAGGTCAAGGAGAATGAGGTCTAAGAAAATGTCATTAGATTTGTTGATATAGTGTCTTAAATACATTAGTAGGCACATTATTGGTTGGTTAATTGGTCAATCAAGAAGTAGGGACGTTTGAAAAAGTAATTTTAGTACAGCAGTAGAGATGGAAGCCAGATTGCAAGAAGATGAGTGAATAGTGAAACAGTAGAAGTATCAAGTATAGATAGGATTGAAGGGATATGGAAAAGGATTTTTAAGATTAGGAAGACCTGAACACATTTCAAGGCAGATATTAATCAAAGAGGGAAAGATTAAAAATCTATGTCAAAAGAGAGATGATCGTTTGGAGAATGGTCCTGTAAGAAACAAGAAGAGTACAGGAATTAGTCATAATAAAGAATAGGGACACCTCATTTTCTGAGACAGACTAGAAAAGGAATGGTTTCAAGTAAGGTTAAGACATTGCTCAACAGAAAAGAGAGGAAGATACTTGAAATGAGAGACTTACATGAGAAAAAGTAGAGATCATATTGCACATGGCTTTTAAGGGGAACAATGATAGATTAGTTTGGCTAAAGATAGGTTAAATGGAAGATTAGGAAGAGCCAGTGAGTAATTTCCTTCCCTTTCTTAGTGTATTTAGGTGATGAGCAAATTAAACTTTTTTTTTAAGTTAGGGCAAGTATTAGGACAAATATTTCAATTCTTTCTTCGTCTTTTTAACATTGGAGCACTCTGACTTTAGAAAAGTATTTCAAGTGTAAATTAGTTAGTGTGGATACTTCCTCCAGCAATGCCAATTGATGTCACTCTCTAACTTTAGTAGATGGTCCTCAAGAGTTGCTGTAACTGAAAAATGCCTTGCTTGTGTTGCTGCCATGGTAACGAGCCTTTCCAAACATGGCTAATCTTCAGAAGTAGACATACCACCATCCTTAGAACCAACAGAATTTGATCCCAACTAGGAGAGCTTTCTAGAGCACAGGGTCACATCCTTACTGTGAAGAGGCATTAAAGAATTTTAGTGGATCTTTAGAAACTACTAATAGGAAGTAAATTTGACTCATGATTCCAATTGTGACCTCTACTATTTTGTATTTTCATTTTGATCCCTTATGCCTAGCATAGTGCCCTTAGACATAGTAGATACCCAATAAATGCTTTTTGAATTGGATTCATAACAGTGGTTTGTAAAATTGCAATGTCTGTTAGACATTTTTCAAAAGTCTCCATGAACCACTTTATTCTTGCTTTTTGCCATGCATTGGAGTCATTAATCGTTTGTCATCATGTTTTAATGCAGATTCAAATCAGAAGTGGGAATATGCCTTCTAAAATTCATATTTTGAGGTAAGTTCTATCACTGAAGATTAATTTTGAAAGACATTGACACTGTGAAATTGACAATAACATATTCAAAGGGCTTAAATTTTCCTTGTTAAGTATAGGTTTATTTTAGTTTCTGAAAAAGAATTGAACAGTAATTACAACTTTATTTAACTCCTTTTTGTAGCTAAAGGTGCCATATAAAGAAGCTCAGAGCTGAAAGTGAACATGGCAGAAGAAGAAGACTATATGTCTGATTCCTTCATTAATGTGAAGTAAGTAAATGTGTATCTCATCCCTTCATGTTGTATATGACAATAGTGAATGATTCACCAGAAAAGGAAAAGGAGGGGCAGCTAGGTGGCGCCAGTGGATAGAGCACTGGCCCTGAAGTCAGGAGGACCTGAGTTCAAATGTGGCCTCAGACCAAACACTTGACACTTACTAGCTGTGTGACCCTGGGCAAGTCACTTAACCCCAGTTGCCTAAAAAAAAAGAAAGAAAGAAAAAAAAGAAAAGGAAACCAAAAAGGAAAACTACAGTATTACAGGATTTCAACTTGGAAGTTTGGTTAGAATTCACCCAGTCTCATACTCTCATTTTATAGAAGTAGTAGTTGAGGCCCAAAGAAGGGAAGTAATTTTCCCAAGTATTTAAGAGACCTGTGATTCAAACTCATATCACTTTCTTACAATCTCAGAATTAGTAAGATCCTACATCTATCCAGTCTGACTCACACTTGAACAGGAACCTCCTCTGCAGCCTCTACAGGTGGTAATCTATCCTTTGCTTGAAGACCTTCCAAGGCTACTCATTCTAGTTTGGATCAGCTCTAATTCTTTTTTCTTTTTAAAGAAAGTTATTTGTTTTTAACATATTTTAAAATTTTGAGTTTCAACTTCTCTCCCTTCCTCCACCCCTCCCCCACACGGAGAAAGTTGGCAATAAGAGACCCATTTTACATGTGAAATCATTCAAAACATATTTGCATATTAGACATGTCACCAAAAAAAACCTAGAAAAATAAAGAAAATGAGAAAATTATACTTTAATTTGTACTCAGAGTTCATCAGTTTTCTCTCTGTAGATGATAGTAGTTTTCATCAAGAGTCCTTGCAAATTTGTCTTGGATCGTTGCATTTAGATCAGAGTAACTAAGTCGTTCACAGTCAATCATCATTACAATATTGCTGTTACTGTGTACAGTGATCTGGTTCTGCTCACTTCAGTTTGCATCAATTCATATAGGTCTTCCCAGGTTTTTCTGAAGCTGTCCTCTATTTTTTTCCCTGAAGGATTACACTCAGTTTTACTGGGTAGGTTATTCTTGGTTATAATCCTAGCTCTTTTGCATTTCAGAATATTATATTCCAAGCCCTCCACTCTTTTAACATGGAATCTGCTAAATCTTATATGATCCTGACTGTGATCCTGATGATATTTGAATTGTTTCTTTCAGGCTGCTTATAGTATTTTCTCCTTGATCCAGGATCTCAGGAATTTGGGATCAGCTCTAATTCTTAAGTGATTTTGGATGTTTCTTAAATTTTTATTTTTTTGGAGGCGATTGAGGGTAAGTGACTTGCCCAGGGTCACACAGCAATCGTTTTTGTTTGTTTTTTTAATATCAACCCTAAATCTGCCTCTACAATTTTCATCCATTTTTGTTGTTGTTAACAGTTCTATCTTCTGGAACCAAGAAGAAGTTTAATCTCCCTGCCTTGTGATAACCCTTCATATGCTTCATATTTCATTGATTTAGAGCTAGAAGGGACCTCAGGTGTCATCTAGTCAATGTCCTTCCTAAAATATGGAGCCCAGAAGTGAACATAATTCACTGGACAATGAGACAAGAAAGATACTAGTTTTGAGGGGTTTTTTTTTGAGTAAGTTTTATTGAATCCTTTTGTTTTTCGATCACAATCATGATCCCTTCAACTGAACCTACTCTTCTAACGAAGAAAAATATTTAAGCAAAAGACCCCTTCAGATCTCTAGCTCTAGTTCTGTCCTTTCTCCTTAGTTTCAATCCTAATTTTCAATTGCCTACTAACGTTTCTTCTTAAGAGTCCTTCCAACTCACTTCAGACTTAGTCTGAAATTAAATTTATTCCCTCTCAGCACTATCTCCGTTTGTTTCCTTTTCATTGTCAGTGACATCCTTTCCCCAGTCACCTAGGCTTAGAAATTTGATGTCGTTTTTGATTCATCCTATTTTTCATTCTCATTTCCAATAATATTAACAACAAGAATAATTACATCCCATTAGTCACCAATTACTGTTCATTTTTCCTTAAAAAATGTGTCATATCTCTTTCTCATTGTCACAACTGCAATAATATTTCAGGCCTCATTCCCTATTTGTTGTCCAGACAGTAATTAATTTATTTGAATAAGTTAATTCCCCTGAGACTTCAAATTTATATCCTCCATATAAAGATAATACTTACATTATTTCTACATAATGTAACAATAATGTAATAAACATAATAAATGTAATACATTAATAATGTAACAAGCATAATAAGCATTATGTTATTTACCTCAAAATAATACATGTAAAGGCTTTAGAATGCCAGACATTACTGACAATCAAGTAATGTTTACTCTTGCTTTCATTTATGTTTTGTGTTCTTTTTTTTCTTTTTAAAATTTATTATTTATTTTAAACATATATTTTGGTGTTATAAATGGAAGCAATAAATGAATGGGTAAAGGCAATGAGAAATAATCAAATTCATGTAATACTAAGTGTCAAAAAAGCACAGGCTGCCTGTGTTATTAACCATAATGTTGTTGTTTAGAGAAGATATCAGACCTGGATTGCCCATGTTGAGGCGAATCAGAGAGGCTCATCAAAAAGAAGAAAAGCATCGGGAAGCAAATCTAAAAAATAGACAAAAGAGTTTAAAGGAAGAGGAAAAAGAAAGACGTGATAATGTTTTGAAGAGTGCTTTGGGTAGTGAAAACAAGGGATTTACTTTGCTCCAAAAGATGGGTTATAAAAGTGGACAGGCTCTTGGCAAGAGTGGTAAGTTATATTATGAAAACTAAATCATTCTAATTGAAATTTTCATTGAAAATTGAAATGTTTATGAGTAATAACCATTTTAGAATGCTTGAGAAGAAACTGAAAGCCAGAGAGATCATAGGATCAAAGCTTGAAGGAATCTCAGAAGTCATCTGTCTACTCCAACTCCCCCTTCCTGTACAGCACTTGCCTCAATCTCTCATTTTCTTAACTACTTCTGAGTCATGACCAAAACTCCCAAATCTTGCTCATTTCACTTAGGGCAAAGGATAATCCTCAATCCCTTCATTATTAAATTCATTCTACAGTTAGCAACTCTTGGAATGGGAAAGGAATTGATTAGGGACCTCAGTAAAAACTGGGCAACAGTTGTGGAGCAGAGGTATTAATAACCAGGGGACAAAGGAGCAACATCAGGGTGAAGAGAGGATTATATCTCATTCTGTTCTACAGTTTTGGCAGCTGTATGACCAACTACATAGCTTGCTTATAATGATTTTTCATTCTCCTTTTGAGTTTGAAAAGCCATAGTTTGAGATGCAGAATGAATAAATAAAAAGCATTTTTTAAAGCACTTAATATATTAAGCTATGAATGAAAAGCTCTTGTTATGTGTGAAGCTCTGTGCTAGGTGCTGGGGATACAAATGCAAAAGGCAGTCCCTATACTCAAGGAGCTTCCATTCTAGCACATCCAATGTATCTCTCAACAATTTTAAAAACCACTTTAGGATGTCAGAACAGAACAAAATCAATCCCACTGAGACCTGTATATTTGGATGGCCAGGGAAATGGTAGGGTTTAGGCTATTAATATTAAGATTTCATTTTGATGATTCTTTATGCCAAAGCAATATATATTGGACAATATCACAGAATCTAAGAATCCAAGGGAACTTAGTAACCATTTAGTCCAGTCTATTCCTTGGCAATAATCCTTTCTCCAATCCTTTTGTCCTGCTGACAAATTATTGTCCTTCCTCTATTTGAAGACTTCCAGTGAGGAGGAACCAACTGCTACACACCTCATTCTGCTTTGGTCAGCTGTATTTATTAAGAAAGATTTCCTTGCATCAGACCTAAATTTCCTTCTTTACGTCTTTTTTCTCATTGTATCTAGCTTTTCTCTCCGGGCTGTAGCAGGACAAGTCTAATCTCTCTTCAACATGATAACCCTTCAAATACTTAGAAGACAAGAGTAATATCCCCCAATGAAGTCTTCATTTCTCTGAGTCAAACATTCCATGTGGTCATTTAGCCTTCCTTCATATGGTGTAGTTTCCAGTCCACTTTACACAATGATCAGCTTCTTCCAAATGATTTCCAGCTTTTCTGTCCTAAAATGTGGTACCGAAAACTAAACCGTTTACTACCGGTGCAATGTGACCAGGACAGAGCAGAGTGGAAATGTCAACTCCTTCATAATTTTCTCAGTGCAGCTTAGGATATTACCTTTTTCAATAGTCATATAACGTCACTCATTCATTGAGCTTGCAAATTCATTGAGCTTACACTAAACCTCCTAGATTTTTTTTCAAAGGAATTGTTGATAGGCTATACCTCCTTTCTCCTGTACTTGTTTAGTTTGATCTATTTGTATCCATATATACAACTTTATAGTTATTCCTGTTAAATTTTTTTCTTCTTGATTCAGACTATCATTCTAGCCTAAAATCTTTTTGAAGCTTCCATAGTAATGATGATGATAATAATAATTAATAATAATAATAATAATAATATTGACAATGTGCTATAATAATAATAGTGCCATTTATGTGTCAGTACTTTATATATATTATCTCATTTGATCCTCACAATAACCTTGGGAGGTAGGTGCTATTATTATCCCCATTTTATATTGATGAGGAAACTGAGGCAGACAGAGGTTAAGTGACTTGCCCAGAATCACACAGCTAATAAGTATCTGAGGCTGGATTTGAACCTGGTCTTCCTGACTTGAGGCCAAGCATTCTGTTCACTGTGCCACTTAGCTCCTCAATGTCATCCAACATGTTAGGTAACTCTCACAGCTTGGTGTCAAATTTTACAAAGTTGTCTTAAGAACTGCTCCAATTTATGTAGCTCTCTTAACCTCATACATTATCTCATTTAATCCTCACAGCAGACTATTGAGGTAAAAATTATAGGTATATTTATTCCTCTTATAGATGGGGGAACTAAAGACAGAGAGATTGTGACTTGGAAGATTGTGACACCAAGTACATCAAGTAGGTGTTAGAGGTGGATTTTAAGTCTACGTCATGCATTCTTTCCTTGTTTCCCTTCTGTGCCTTCATCCAAGTCACCTATAAAAATATGTAATAGCATAATGCCAAAGACAGATCCCACGGGCATTGCACTATAGATCTCTTTTCAAGTTGACATTGATCCATTAAGAACTTTTCTTTGCTTCTGATCATTCAACTAGTTTTTTTGTTTTTTTTTTTTTTTCATATAAAACTGTACTGTCAACTATCTCATGTCTCTCCGGTTTGAAGGATAGCATGAGAGACTTTTGTCAAATGCTTTAATGAAATATAAATATACTTTCTCTATGGCATTATCTTGATCCACTAATCTAATTACACTATCAAAAAAGGAAATGAGATTAGTTTGACATGGTCTAGTTTTGAAGCTCTGCTCACTTGTAATGATCAATAGTTTCTAAGTTTTCACAAACCATACATTCAGGAATTTTGCAAGGAACAAGACTCAGACTTACTGACTTATGGTTTACAAACTCTATCTCATCTGAAAATGAAGACATTTGCCCTTCTCCAAGCCTATTCTCCATAATCTTTCATAGCTTAATAACTTTGGTGCAACAATCACATCATTAAGTCATGAGTATGTTAAGAGGTAATTTGGGCCTGGTGATTTGAAGTCATTAAGGGTTGTGTTGTGCTCTTTCACCAAAGGATAATAAATAGAATACAGATTTAGAGCTAGAAGGAAATTTAGCAATATTTAGTCCAACCTTTTCATTTTACAAGTGAGAAAACTGATGGAAAAAGGGTAAGTGCCTTGTCCAAGGTCACATGGGTAGCAGGTACCAGAGCCAGGATTCAAAACCAGGTACTCTGATTCCAGATCCAATACTCTTCCCAATGTGCCATGCTGTCTCCTTTCTTCTCACTTATCTTGGGATTCAGTTCCCTTTAAAAATCAATGAAGAGGGGCAACTAGGTGGGTCACTGGATAGAACTCCAGCCTTGGAGTCAAGAGGACCTGAGTTCAAATCTGGCCTCAGACACTTGGCACTTACTAGCTGTGTGACCCTGGGCAAGTCACTTAACCCGATTGCCTCACTAAAAAGAAAAAAAAATCAATTAAGAAGTATTGATCTTTTCTATCTCTCCCTCCTCCCCCTTTTGAAAAAAATATATGTATACATATATATATATACATACATATATTTTTTTTCTTTAACGTGTACACTTTTATTTGAACTGGTCTTAAGTCAGTGTACAGGTAAAACTCCTCCCCTCCCCCAAGTACTGGCACCAATCTCATAAAACTCACAGGGAGATTGTAAAGTCTTCATTCACATCTATGTTGGGTGCAGGGAGGGAATTTAGGGGGCCATTCATTATGGCTGACAGTTTAAAAAAAGGAACAAGTATTAAGGTGGAAGATACAAAAAGTTTTTTTTAAAGGATTAAATAATTTACATGTAAAGCAATACTAGTACCTTCCTACCTCCCCATCTGGATTTTTGTTACCAAGCTCCTTTGCTGTAGTAGAGGACAGCCTTCATAGAGGTTTGTAACAATGCATTATACAATATTTGGAATGATTGTAAAAAAAAATGTACAATCAGAGTCCTGAAGACACCCTGTAGAACTCTGGGGATGTTTGCCTCCAACATACTTGGACTGCTCATCACCTTCACCATTCCAATTTTTAAATCCTGACTCAAGCGCCAAAACAAACAAACAAACAAACAAACAAAAAAAGCAAAGCCATGGCAATCTCATCTCTTTTTTTGGGGGGGGGCAATTATCATGTCACACCCTTTGACAAAAACCCACAAACAGTTAATTTACAAGCATTTGCAGTGGACAGTGGAGGGCCCAGATTCATCATACTTCTGTTTACTGATCCACATCTGCTGGAAGATAGAAAGAGACACCAGGGTGGAGCCTCCAATCCTGACAGAGTATTTGTGCTCAGGTGGGGCAATGATCTTGATTTTCATTGTGCTGGGAGCTAGGGCTGTAATCTCCTTCTGCATCCTCTCAGCAATGCCTGGGTACATGGTGGTACCACCAGATAGTATGGTATTGGCATACACATCCTTGTGGATGTCAACATCACACTTCATGATTGAGTTGAAGGTAGTTTCATGGATTCCACAGGATTCCCTACCTAAGAAAGATGGTTGGAAGAGAGCGTCTGGGCATCTGAACCTCTCATTGCTAATGGTGATAACCTGACCATCAGGAAGCTCATAACTCTTTTCCAGAGAGGAGCTAGATGCTGCAGTGACCATCTCCTGTTCAAAGTCTAGGGCCAGATAACATAGCTTCTCCTTGATGTCACACATGATTTCCCTCTCCGTGGTAGTGAAACTATACCCTCTCTCGGTCACGATCTTCATGAGGTAGTCTGTCAGATCACAGCCAGCCAGATCCAGACAGAAGATGGCATGGGTAAGGGCGTAACCTTCATAGATGGGCACAGTGTGGGTCACACCATCACGAGAGTCCATCACAATAGGAGTGGTACGACCAGAGGCATACAGGGACAGCACAGCCTGGATGGCAACATACATGGCTGGGGTGTTGAAGGTCTCAAACATAATCTGAGTCATCTTTTCTCTGTTGGCTTTGGGGTTCAGGGAGGTTTCTGTAAACAGCACAGGGTGCTCTTCAGAGGCCACATGGAACTCACTGTAGAAAGTATGATGCCAGATCTTCTCCATGTCATCTCAGTTTGTGACAATACCATGTTCAATGGGGTACTTCAGGGTCAGAATACCCTCTGGGCCTCATCCCTCATGTAGCTGTCTTTTTGATCCATACCCACCATCACACCCTGATGTCTGGGGCCCCCAACAATGGAAAGGAAGATAGCCCAAGGGGCATCGTCTCCTGCAAGCCAGTTTTGCACATTCCAGAGCCATTTTCAACAACAAGAGCAGCAATGTCATCATCCGTGGCAAATTTTGAAGTGGCAAGTTTAAACCCTTGAGAGAAAGGAAGTGGCTAACAGCTATGGGCAAATTGCTGGTGGCCATCTCTGTTAAATAGGCAAGTCCAGACCTTCATCACTATAAATTCCCTGATGAAGGCTTAATTTATTAATGACAGGTCTCCCACATTTTCTTAGTTTAGAATTATCTAACTCCTTATTTACTTTTAATTCAAAATTAGAATATTCCTACTCTAATTTAACACAATCAGAATCCCTTCCACAGGCAGAAATCCATTTATCAGCAATCTTTCTAATTCAGTTTCCTCGCTTTGTTCTTCCTTTCCAAACTCTCTTAATTTCCTTGTACTTTACTGGCCATGGTGCTTTCGATATGCAGTTATATCTGATTGCATAAAGCATTTATATGTGGTTTGAAAAGAAAACTTCTAAAACATTATTTTTTCCTACTATTTTCTAGGCAGTGGCATTGTTGAACCTATTCCTCTGAATATCAAAACAGGTATGTAACTGTTTCTGAATTGATCGTTATTTTAATTTCAAATACAGATATTAGCCAAGTTTGTTTGTTTTGTTCTCACAAGTCAATTCCCATATCTGGTGATATCAGGCCAGAAACACTTAGGAAATACTTTTTCCTGATAGTTTTGGAAACTGATCTTTATCTAAATAAATGCAAAGTAAATGTTTAAAGCCAGTAGGAAGCCCACAGATTTTCAAGTTGAAAATAAAATAAATTTTAGCTATAACTAAGGCAGTTTTAAAACCATGAAAACTGATTTAAAAATTTTTTATAGCACAACTTGAATAACATATATTTTACTCATTCAAATTCTATGAAGGAAATCACAAAGATTTCAGCATTGGATATTTTCTATAATATATGGGCTATAACTTAAGATTCAGAGCTTTCAGTATTAGTTCATATGTCAGTTCAACAACATTTATTCATTTTATTTTGGGTGCAAACATGAATGTCATTACCACATTTTCCTAAAAAAAAAAATAAAATCTCTTAAATTCATGATTTCATAGCTTGAGTAGTATTACTATAAGTCCTATTTTTCTTTTCTTTTCTTTTCTTTTTTTTTTTGTGGCTAGGCAATGAAATTAAGTGACTTGCCCAAGGTCACATAGCTAGTAAGCGTCAAGTGTTTGGTCTGAGGCTGCATTTGAACTCAAGTCCTCCTGACTTCAGGACTGGTGCTCTATCCATTACGCCACCTACCTGCCTCCCTATTTTACTTTTCTATCTGAGGTTCAACTTGTTCTCAGAAGTTTTGAAGCTAAACAAATATATATTTTCTCCCATGAAACTTCTTCAAATACTCTTTGAATGATTGAAATTTTTATCTATATACTTATAACTTGTACAAATTTAAAGTGTAATGTGTTAACGTGAGAAAAATAGGCTCTCTCATCATAATTCCTAATTTGAATAGGAAGAAGTGGCATTGGTCATGAGACATTAATAAAACGGAAAGCAGAGGAAGAACTGGAAAATTACCGAAGAAAAATTCATTTGAGAAACCAAACTGAGGAAAAAGCTGCAGATCAGTTTCGGTAAAACATCTCCTGTTTTAATTTCCTTCTTTTAAAATCTTACCTCCTCTTGATGATAGAGGGGAGGGCAGATTGGGGGAGGGAGTAATCGGAAGCAAACACTTGTAAGGAGGGACAGGGTCAAAAGAGAGAATAGAATAAATGGGGGGCGGGATAGGATGAAGGGAAAATATACTTAGTTTTTCACAACATGACTACCGTGGAAGTGTTTTGCATGACTACACATGTATAACCTGTATCAAGTTGCCTGCCTTCTCAGTGAGGGTGGGTGGGGAGGGAGGAAGGGAGAAAATTTGGAACCCAAAATTTAAAAACAAAAGTTAAAAAAAAATTTATTTTCACATGCAGCTGGGAAATAAGATATACGGGAAATGGGGTATAGAAATCTATCCTGCCCTATAGGAAAATTGAAGGGGAAGAGGATAAGAGAAGAGGGGGGAGAGATAGAAGGGAGGGAAGATTAGGGACATTCAGAATGCATGCCATCTTGGGGTGGAGGGAGGGACGAGATGGGGGGAAAATTTGGAACTCAAAATCTTATGAAAGTGAATGTTGAAAACTAAAATAAATAAACTAATTAAAAAAAAAATCTTACCTCCTCTTTACCTACCAAGATGTATTTTTTGGCATTGGTATGCACAAAAATATTTAAACTGAGACAAATCTGACACAGGTACAATTTCTTCTTTTAATCAGATTGAGACTCAAAAATAAAAAAGAAGAACTTAAGTTAGAAGGTGATCTTAAAAGAAGTCAGAGAGCCTGCCATCAATTAGACACACAGAAGGTAAGCCTCTGATCTTGTTTTCAGGTGGCAGATTGTTTTAGCATTGAAGCTAACATATATCATCACCAAAAATAATTCACAAAAATATTAAATGTTAAAAATGTTAATATTTTTTCAACATTACTCAACAGAATTTTCTGTTAAATACTCATAGTCCAGTGCTGGTTGGTGATGATGATAATTGAGACACTTCAAAATCTCTAAGCACCTTTGGAATCCCCAAAGGAAGATTATATTATGTTTAACATAATTTTAGTACTAGGGTTTTTTGTTTTGTTTTTACTTATAATTGAATTCAGAAAAGTTGGTAAATATTTTGATTATATATGCTAGGTTGTCTTTTAACCAACACAGTTTATTTAGCATGTCCAAATTATATCTTTTTTATTCAAATTGACTTTTAGTCAAATTGTGTATTAAATTCTACTTAAACTTAGGATCCTATCTCATGTCCTTTAACACCAATAGAGTAAAAATGAGTTACCTTGAAGTAGTATGATTATTTATGAGTTCCTAAGTTAATATGGAAGTAATTGACACAAATTAATGTACTTTTTTTAATGGTCTCATAAGTGATAACTGTCATATACTGTAGCTCAAGTAATACTTGTTTTAAGGATATTCAAGTTCCCAAGGAACCATGGTACTGGTTCATGCCAGAAAAAGAAGAACAGGAAGATGAAGAAGAGAAAGGAGAGAAAGAACAGGAAGAAGATGAATATGGTGGTGAAGAATTAAGTGTAAGTTTTGATCCTAAATTTTTTTTTATTTTCTAATGAAAATTTTCGTGGTTTTCTCAGTATCATAGTTAAGGGGCTTAAATTAATTTGGATTTTTGGTCAAATTTTGATTTTTGATATTAAATCTACAGATAATTTAGAGTCATTTTAACCAGGAGTTTTGATTTTCCTCTTCAAACTTTTTATTGCACTCTTGATAAGTATCTTTGCTGCTTGAGTTTAGTTTCATATTCTTTTCTTGCCTCTACTGAATCTCTAAAACAGCCTTTAATGAGCCTCTTCCCATCAAAATGTGATCAAAAAAAGAAAGCAAATAACAATTGACTTTTTCATAGCTCTCTACAACTTGTAAATTACTTTACATATGTTATTCATTTGAATCTCCTGTTTCTTTATGAGGTCCATAGTCCATGGATTATGCCCATTTTACAGAGGAAGATTCTAAGGCACAGAGAAGTTAATTAACCTGTTGAAGGCCATACAGCAAATAAATGGTATCTCAAACCTGGTTATGCCACTTCCAAATCTACAAAAAAAGGATATTTATCCTTGGAGTTAATATCTACACAAAGAAAAGAATTTATCTTATTTTCAAATGTGTGCTGTTTTACTTGATTTGTTTAAAAAAGCCTTCTTTAAAAAATGACTTTCTGCACAAAGAGGATAAGTTGGAGTCTAGTAAAAAATATTGTCACCTTCATACATGTTTGTTTGAGAATAATCCCTTGAACTGGTTCTGTTTAGTTTGGTCATAATGAATTTATTCAACACGTAGTTCTTTAACACAAGACAGCAGTTATTTTAAGAGTAAGTTTTTTCACATGCAAGAGAATTAAAGAATTATGCATTTTGGCCAAAGGTATATCAAGATACATTATTAATTTGTTCCTTCCAAACCCTAGCCAACTAAAAGGTCATTGAAAGAAGTAGTAGACACTGATGGTATTAGTTGGCCGTGTGTAATTTGGTATTAGTTGATTGTGTGTAATCAGATGTGTAGCAGTGAATAAGGGGTCTAATACATGAAGTGTCTTATTTTGTCCTTTAGGTATTGGAAAAATTACAAATTCTGACAAGATATTTAAGAGAAGAACATCGGTATTGTATTTGGTGTGGAACAACCTATGAAGGTAAAAAGATCCTGTTATACATATACATGTATACATGTTCATATACTTCACATGTGTAATGTATATGTGCATGTGTATGTATGCATATAAAACATGTACTCTGTGTATCTATATGTTTTACATTACTTTGATAATTCTTTCTTGCCATTAATACTTTAAAATATTCTCATTTGTTTTGTTTTTAAAGTCACACTTCACTGAGTTTATATGCATTTCTCAATTCAGCCATTGATTGGTGATTCAACTCATAATGAAATAGGAAGGATTAGAAGTACTTAATGATCTATTTAAAATTGATAACTTTCAAGATAACTACATTTAGAGGAAAATTTCGAATTCATCTGTTCCTAAAGAGGGGCAGCAAGGTAGTGTAGTGCATAGAGTTCTGGGCCTAAAGTTAGGAAGACTCCTCTTCCAGAACTCAGATCTGGCCTCAGATACTTACTACCTATGTGACTCTAGATAAGTCTCTTAACCCTGATTGTCTGTTTCCTCATCTGTAAATTGAGCTGGAGAAGGAAATGGCAAAGCATGCTAGTATCTTTACCAAGAAAACCCCTAATGGGGTCACAAAGAGTTGGACACAACTGAAAGGACTAAACAATTCCAAAAGAAATAGATTTAGGAGTTTACAAAAATCTATGTCTTTTTCATGCTTTAAGATACTTCCTTCTGTTATAGATATGTCAAAAACATATAACATCTGGTACACTAAACATTTAGTATTTCTCAAAATTGTGACAATCAGTAGAAAAGTGTGCCTCATCATGAAATGGTGGTTACGTTTGTCTAAGCTACATCTGCTAACTTTATCTTTAAAAATTATTTATTTTAGTATAATAAAAGCCCTGAATGAAGTTTGGTTTTTATTTAGGATTGCACAATAGGGTAGGTAAAGATCCCAGCAAACCTGAGGATATTGATATTTAGTTATGTGGGCACCTATCTTTAATAAGAGTATGTACATCATTGTGTCAAGACCTATAATTTTGTCTGTGTGGAAACTCCTTGAGATGATGAAGGTCACACATGTAATTTATAGTCTCTGAAGATGTGTGAGGAGGCCAAGATGGCAGAGTAGGAGAAAGCAGTATAGCCTAACTCCACATCTCCCCAGTCCCAGCCCCCAATTGTTCTACCAACAATCTAAGAATGACACCAGACAGAGAAGTGATTGGGAAATCAAAGGAGAAACTAAGATTCCCAAGAGTACAAATTCAGCTTATACCCAAGTAACCAGGACAGCAACTGTGAAACAGGGGTAGACAGGTTCATGGACTCAGTGATCAGAGCTCCATGCTAGGCCAGTAGCTTAGGAATACACAGAACTGATCATGGACTCACTCTAAACTGGACCAGAAGTGAGGGGATGCTTAGAGTTAACCTTAGACTTAGCCTCTGGCCCAGAAGAGCAGCATGGGGTTTCCAAAAAGAAGAAAGAATGTAGACTCAGTGCCCAGAGCCCCAAGTGGGGATGCTAGATTACCCAGAACAGATCATGGACTGAGTCTTCTACCTAACACAGCAACTTGGATGTCTCACACAGGAAGTAAGATTTGGTTGGGACTTAAAGGAAGCCAAGGAGGTCAGTAGTCAGAGTGTAGTTGGGAGAGAGGATTCCAGGCATGGGGGATAACCAGAGAGTATACTCAGAACCAAGAGATGGAGTGACTTGTTTATGAAATAGCTAGGAGGCCAGTGTCACTGATTCAAGGTGTATGTGTTGGTGGATAAGTGTAAGAAGACTGGAAAGGTAGGAGGGGGCTAGGTTATAAAGGGCTTTGAATGCCAATAGAACATTTTGTATTTGCACTTGGAGGCAATAGGAAGCCACTGGAGTTTATTGAGTAGGAGGGTGACATGATCAGACTTACATTTTAGGAAAATTTTAGTGACTGAATGAAGACTGGATTGAAGTGAGAAGAGAGTTAAGGCAGGCAAACCCAAAAGCAGACTATTGGAGTAATCAAGGCATGAGGTAATGAGGGCTTCACTAGAGTGGTTGTAATGTCAGAGGAGAGAAGAGGGTTCATTTGGGAAATGTCGCAAAGGTAAAATTGTCAGAACTTGGCAACAGACTGGATATGGGGGTGAGAGATAATGAGGAATTCAGGATGATTCCTAGGTTGCAAGCCAGAGGGACTGGGAGTGTCACCCTTGACAGTTATAGTGAAGATAGGCCCAGGGAATGTTTTAGAGGAAAAGATAATGAGTTTTGTTTTGGACTTATTGAGTGTAAAATGTCTCCTGGACATCCAGTTAAAGATGTCTGAAAAGCAGTTGGAGATGTGAAATTGGAGGTCAGCAGACAAATTGAGTCAGGAAAGGTAGTCTTGAGAGTCATCAGCATAAAGCTAAATCCATGGAAGCTGATGGAAATCGTCAAGTGAAGTAATATAGAGAGAGAAGAGAAGGGGACTCAGGACAGAACCTTGAGGGACACCTACAGTTAAAGGGTGTGGAGGAGGAATTGGAAAAGGAGACAAGGAAGGGGCAGATAGGTAGAAGGAAAATCAGGAGAAAGGAGTGTCCTAAAAGCCTAGAAAGAAGAAAATATCAAGGAAGAGTGTGTCGAAGGCTGCAGAGAAGTCAAAGAGAATGAAGATTGAGAGAAGACTTGGATTTGGCAACTCAGAGATGATTAGTAACTTTGGAGCAGTTTGGTGGAATGATAAGGTCAGAAGCTAGATTGTAAGGGATTAAGAAGAGAGTGAGAGGAGAGAAAGTGGAGGCACCTATAGTTGACAGCCTTTTCGAGGAGTTTAGCTACAAAGAGCAGAAAAGATAAAGGATGATAGGAGTGTGTGTGTGTGTGTGTGTGTGTGTGTGTGTGATATATACTACTGCAACCTTTTTATAAGGCTAGTTATAGTCATAAATAATTTAAAAAGATTTTTTTTCTTTCTCTAACAGATGAAGAAGATTTGTCTTTGAATTGCCCTGGACCAACTTCTGCAGATCATGACTAAAAATTTTCCTATTAAAAGGGAACCTAGAAAATGTCAATGTTTCCTTAATACTTTGTATGGTTGAACATTTAAATTTCACATATTTATTGATCAGGGCAGTTAAGAACACCAGACCATAAAGTTTTATTTTTTTGCATAACTAGGACAATGGAATCATTCATCAATATGTAAGAATATCAAGATGCTGTTTAAGAACAAAAATGCCATGGAAAATGACAATTAGAGTTTATAAACATATTGTGATTATGTGGTCATCAAGCACTCTGTTCCATCAAAGTTCTGGAAAATTTTAGCTCTTAGCAATGAATTTAGGGCAGGGTAATTATGAGAGATTATTGATAGACTTTTGACTTTTTCTATTGTTTTGTTAAGCACATTGTTTGGAGGTTTTCAGTCAGACCCTTGAAAATTGGAAAGGATCTTAGATATCGACTGCCGGGGTGGGGAACCTGCCTAGTCTGATATGCTGTTCATCATAGGAACCCTTCTGCAGCAACCTCTGACAGGTGTCATCCAATTTGAATACTTTTAGTGACATAGAACTCATTCCATTTTTGCACAGCTTTGCTTTTTATTATACCCATAGCTGCTTCCTTGTAACTTTCTCCTATTAGTCTGTACTTTGAAGCAACATATTAGCCTATCCCTTTTTCTGTGTAACAGGACTTCAAATACTTGAAGGGAGCTATTGTCTTTCCCTTTAGTCTTTGTTCCAAGCTAAATAGCCCAATGTCTTTAAATTGTTATTCATCATAATGTAATTTTCAGGTTTTTTTTAACCTTCCTTGAACGTATTCCAGTTTGTTTATGCCCATCTCACAAGACACTGTCCAAAACAATGAAATAATCCAGTTGTGGTTCAACCAGTGTGAAAGAAAATGGTAGTTTTATTTCCTATGATGAAGACACTGTATTTCTACAAATGCATTCTAAGATTATATCAGTGTTTTTAGCAGCCATATCACATTGTCATCCTGTTAACTTGTGGTCATCCAAAATCTTTATGTCAAACCAAAGCCTCCCATATCCTTATTTATTCAATTTATTCTTTTAATTAAAATGCAAGATTTTATATTTATTCCTTTAATATTTTTCTTGTTGTATTTGCTCATGGTGTTTCTTTATTCCCTGACCTTTAAAGAAATTGAGTTCCCCTGCTGGGGAGCAGAGGGCACTGACCCAAGCTTCTTGTGTTGGGAGCCTAGGTCTTGGTCACTGGCTTTGTGTGCTGGGGCCTCCGATGTTGGCAATTGGAGGCTGTAGGGTTCTAGCAGTTTACATGGTGTTGGGCTGGAATCAGCAAGGCTGGAACTTTCGGGCAGCTCTAGGTTGCCTGCTTTTCCTTTCCTTTAGCTTTCTTCAGCTCCTTTCAGATGGATGTTGCAGGTTGTTTATCTGCCTGGGGCCTTTTGTAGTTCTGCTTCTCTTATTTTTGCTGAGGCACTGGGAGACCCATTTGCTGTAGAATGCCAAGGCATCTGGTGGTTTTCTGAGCTGGTTTACACAAGGTCCCTGCCCTCACTAAGTCACTCGGAGGTCCAGGTGTTGGTGTTTGCCTGTTCCACCACCTGGGTTTCAGGATCTCCTCCTGGTATGTTAAAGTGGGGCTTTTCACTAACTGACTGGGAGGCCACCGTTCAGTATTGCTCCCCTTCCCCCAGGGCAAGAGGGGCCTTTCCCATTAATCCCTCAAGCTACCTGGGCTGCTGCACTGCTGCTCCCCATCTTTCTCCTGGTTCAGCTGTTTCAGGGTTTTTCCTGGGGCGATATTTTCTGGGCTTTCAGAGGTTGATAGGGCTGTCTTACTGGATTTGAAGTTAGCATTCTAGCCTTTCCAGGTCATCATCTTGTTACCTTTCTTCCCTTAATAGTCCTGCTTTATATACTTTACAAATTTGGTAAGTATGGCTTCTCTGTTTTTGGCCAAGTCTTTGATAAAAATGTATAAAAGGACAGTGACAGAGCCCCTTGGCACTCCACTGGAAACTACCTTTCCATCTTGATAGGGCCATTTTCCAACACTATCATAGCTGTTCAACCAACTAGAAATTCACCATTACTTCATCTTATCCACAAAAGAATAAGAAACTTTATATTATCTATACATCCTTAAGGAAGACAAGCACATCTCCCATTTTTCTCCATAAATCCTTCACTATCAAAACAGGTAATGAATTCCTTCTGTGGCAAATAGCAAGATTCTTAATACTTGCTAATATCTGAAAATCCGCCCTAGTGTTCTGTTGGTATTGGCTAGTGTTTTAGCATGTCCAGAATCACCCTTTGTAAAAAGAGCCATCTATCTGTTGTATAATTCTGATGGTATAGAGTTTCTTTCTCAGAACCAGAAAAAAAATGGGTAGAAATTGCAAAGAGGCAAGTATAAAATTGAAATTAGGAAAACAAAATTCTAAATATTTAAAGTTGTCCTAAAGTGTAATGGGTTATTTCAGGAGATTTTATGTTCACTCTCATTAGAGGTCTTCAAGCCAAGCTAGATAACCTCTTTGTTATGTTGGGTCACGCCTTGGGGCTTTGTACTAAGTGGCTGCAGAGGTCCCTTCCAACTCTGAAGTATTGCCATTCTGCTCTATTTTGCATTCTTCTGGCCACCCAAGTCTTAATATTGATTTCTTTGTACTCTCTTTGAAATTATTTTCTTTGTGGCCTTCATACTGGATTATTTCTTCCGTTCTGCCTATGAATACTTTATCTTCTCTAATAATCTGGAACCTCAGAATCATAAAGGCAATTCTCCCAGTTTAGAGTTCTGAGCCAGGGGCCTTGCAAAGTGGGGCCGTATAATAATGGAAATTTGGGTATATAAGGGCAGATGAGGCTTATGTCATTCAGTAGTACCAGGGGAAGCAGGAGCAAAAAGACTTGTCAATACAAGGAACCACAGAATCAGAAATGCCAGATATAAACCATTCTCCTTAGAAAAGTACGACATGGTTCTAATCTAGGAAACAGAAGCTAGCAAACAATGTTTGAAGGGTTTGGTTTTAACCTAAATCTGGGAGAAGAAATACTCTAACAATAGGAAGATAGTTGAAGGAGAATCAAAAGAAATTTCTGGGTTAATTGACCTTGCTCATTGTGATTCTCTCCCTGGCTGCAGATGCTGTTTTTGTTTTATGAGCCCACAGAGGATGGTGCTACTTTAGTTCCCTGCTTGGCTTGATAATCTGTTGTTAGACCAACTTGTAATTGAAACAGATGTAACTAATGAAAGCCTCAGGCAGGAATACAAATAGATCACCTACCCTTCAAGTCAATCCAAAGTTTCCTTGTCCAAATTGCCTGATCTAAGAGAACTCTCAGTCAGGTTTCTCCACTACCACTCAAAAAGACTTCTGGGGAAATTGTTTTTAAGCTTTTTTAGGTAAATTTATCCTCTTCCTCCTCATTCTTTACTTCTGCCAACTTAAATTTTAACAACACTTAGCAAAAGTGTCCTATAAGATACAAAATCTTCCTGTATCAGAGAAGATAAAATTGATATGTCACATTTTTAAACCATGTTTTCTTGAATATACACAAAGAAATTTTTAAATTTTACTTGTCTGGTGTCAGTATTTTATTTATATTTATTTTATTTATATTTAAATCACGAGCTAGGTGATACAGTAGATAATATCACCACCAGATCTGGAATCTGAAAGACCTGAGTTGAAATCCAGCCTTAGACAACTTAATTGCAGGTAAGCATATGATACCCTATGTGGACCAAGGGAAGGGAAATAGAAAAGGAAGGTAGAGAGCTGTGTTGCCCAAGTGGCCAGTTCCACTCAGTGGGACAGCTCCTATTTCTACTCACAGAGCTTGTTGTTTGTCCTTCATTCTAGAAGAGGACCATGTCGACAGGGAGGTGATGCCATGACATGCAAGTGAATTGGATTTAATTGAGGGAGGCCTGGTGGGATAATGGCTTTCATACTCCAGTTGAACACCAAGAACCCCTCAGGCTCAAATGCATAGTTTTAGACAAAGATAGCATGGCAAAGCGACAGCCCTATTACCTATACAACCAGTAAAAATGAGTTTATTTATAAATTACCTAATAGAGAGTGAGGAATGAGGAGCTGGGACATAGGAAACTAAATCCTAACAATACCATTCTAGCAAGAGGCCAAAGGCGAGAGGGTAAAGCCCAATTTCTAGGTCGATTAGCCTTGGCATATATGAAATCTTGAGGGTCTGGAGATGTATCAATCAAACCAGTTTTCACCAGCTCACACTTTCCTTCAAGTCTCAGCAAAAATGTCCTATAAGAAACCTTTCCCAATCCCCTTTAATGCTAGTGTCTTCCCTCTTGATTATCTCCAATTTATCCTGTGTACTTTTTTTTTTTGTTCTGTTGAAAGAAAATTCATTTGGGCTTTCACCCTGATTAACAAGGCAAAGCTCAGGACAGAGAATTAAAAGGAGTTATTATAAGTATGTCAAGGTGACAACACATTGATGGACTGATCATAGAAGATCAGCAATGTCATCAAGGTGGGGACAGCTTTTTTAGGTAACTTTAAGACAATCCAGATAGGTCCATCTTAGCAAAAGAGGTCATTTCCCAAGCTTGTAGCAAGAACGTGACTATTTGCAGGTGGGGTACATGACAGAGCAAGTAATACAAAAAGCTGCAAACTTAGTGTCTCCTTCCCCAACAGAGTGTCCCCCAACACTGATTGATAAGCAGGACAGGGAACAATGGGATACTGAGTTCAAAAGGACCGATGACATCAGAAGGGTGATGACTTGCAAGTGAATTGGATTTCAGTGAGGCAGGGCTGTGTAAAGTCATCAGCCTCACTCTCTTCTCCAGAATCATCATAGTTCAGTGGCAAGACATAGGTCAGGATGACTGGTGATAGCCTTTTTAAGTTAAGGTCTTTCTCAGATCTCAGTTTTTCTGAGGCAACATCCATTCATTGATTAAAGATTAGGTAATAATTGAGGCAAAAGATGACCTAGTTTGACTTCCCAAAAGAATCGATCTGGGTGGGGAAGATCTTCAGAGTTTCTGGCCAGAACAGAAACAATTGCTATTTACACTCACTCCGTGCCATCAAAACCCCAACAATGAGCTAGTGAGGCTTGAGCTGGGACCCATTATTGGTCAGTCAGTGAGAGCCAGAGTGATTTGGGTTTAAAGGCATAGTCAGGTAGCTCCATTTGAATCCCAATGGGCTTTATTAAAGCCTGGTTTACCAGAGCTATATTTCAAGAAATCATAAATGAAAACTACAGGGGACAAAAGAGTTAATTGTTCCAGTTTTTTTTTTAATTATAGAATAAATAAATAGGGAAGAAAAAATAAATCTAGCACCCAAACCCCAAGATATCCTGTGAAGTATAAGCAATCAAAACCACATGTAAAGGTATTACTCCCCACCTGCACAGAGAGAGGAGAAAGAAAAGGAGAAGGGAGTATATAGCAGCATTGCCCAACTGCAACTGGCCAGTTGGGTCCCCAGGGTTCAGTTATCACTATTTACAGATTGTTGTTTGTCCTTCCTTCTCAAAGAGGACCAATGACATAAGGAAGGTGATGTCTTAATTTGCAAGTGAATTGAATTTGAGTAAGGCAGAGCTGTGCAAAGTTTTCTTCCTCACTGTCTTCTCCAGAGTCATTGTAGTGCAGTGGCAAGGATACTGAGTCACCATAACTTTCAACAGTACATAGTTGTTCTTATCTTGTCTCTCCTATTAGACTGTGAGCTCCTTGAGAGCAGGGACTGATTTTTTGCTTTTCTTTGTGTCCCCATCACTTCTATTGTTGACTACTTGTGCCACACACCAACACAGTTACATACTGTCTTGTATTTTGTTTTATGTGGTTTCTTGTCTCCTCAATAAGATGGCATACCCTTAGTGATGGGGCACTAGTGATGGACCCCTAAAAGGCCCTGGACTTTCCTACATGGCCCAGGTCCCTAGCATTGGCCTGGGACATCTGGCCCTTCCTAGTTAAACCCTTCCACTGCCCTTTCATTGTGGCCCTCATTGTCTGCACCTGGCCCCACCCTAGATTGCCACTCCTAGATTCCTTCTAGACCTTCTAGACCCCTCTTGTGTTAC